TTTGAACATATGGAAAAACGAGCATAACTTTCCAAAGTTCTTTAAAAAAAAAAAAAAAAGAGCTAGTAAGATAAGAAAACAACCCCGTGAACTACATAAGGTTCTTCTATACAGACTATTAAGAACCATAGAAGGGGGCAAAGTACTTCCATAGTCTAATCATTCATTAAGAGATAGAGACAAATAGTGGTTGACTGATCTTTGAAAAAGAAAGACTTGAGTGACAGAAACTTTACTGACTGTCACAGTTATCAGGTTCATTGATGGTGCTACTGTTGTTTCTTCTTGGAAGAGAGGTCAATTGGTATTTTCCAAGACATCAACAGAAAAGAGAAATAGAACCCTTTCCTACCAATCCAGCCAAATCCTAGCCCTTTCTTTTGTAGCAATTATTTATAAAATCTAATGTTGGATTAGTCTTATTTTGTTGAGTGTTCTTTGTGCTTCCTAGTATACTGCCTGTTTAATTATGAGATTGTGGCAGAGGTTCCTAGCCTGGCTTCAAGAAATCAATAAATCCCTTGAAACTATATCAAGAATGTTGTGTGTCTGTGCATTTTTCTAGTAAGTGAATAGCTTTCAACCGATTCTCAATGGGGTCCATAAGATTAAGAACCATTAAGACAGACTAGTAGCTAGATAGGCAGTTTTTCGAGCACATTTGACTGAGATATAAAACACTGCCAACTTTCAATTACAATGAATAAAAGGCATTTATTAAATAAAACAATATAATTAGCTTTGAAATAGAGTCAGAGATGTATTCTCTAAAATTGTTTTTCAGACTGCAGATTGTGACCCATTAGTGTCTAGCATACAAAAAAAGATAAAAACAGATATACAAAAACAGAATAAAATTCAAGAGAACAGAAAACGTCACAGATTACATTGCATAAAGATATTTTTTATATAACTTTTATGTCAGTTTTATATACGTCTGTGTTGTAAGCTGGGTTGTAAGAAAATATATTTCTTACCATAGGTGACAGCCAACAAAGGTTGAAAAACACTGCTCTAATGCCTGCTTATCTCTTTTACGTTTTGCTTTAAACCTTCTTGATATGCCACTTCTATGGAAACTTGGAACCAAAAAAGTTACGATGATGAAAATAATAATGACAATGGGGCCAGCCCTGTGGCCTAGTGGTTAAGTTCAGCGTGCTCCACTTTGGCGGCCCAGGTTTGGTTCCCAGGTGTGGACCTATACCACTCATCAGCAGCCATGCTGTGGTGGTGACCCACATACAAAATAGAGGAAGAGTGGCACGGATGTTAGCTCAGGGTGAATCTTCCTCAAGCAAAAAGAGGAAGATTGGCAACAGATGTTAGCTCAGGGTGAATCTTCCTCAGCAAAAAAAATATAATAATAATAATAATGACAAGATGATGAGCAATATTTATTGAGTATTCTCTGTCTGCCAAGAGCTTTGCTAAGTGTTTTACTTTAATAATCTCATTTACTCTGTACAACTCAATGAAGTATTATTATTAATATCCATTTTATAGATGAGAAAACTTAGATTTAGAGAAATAAAATAACTTGATTTAGACTTACGTGTGACTCAAAGCCCATGCTCTTAATTATCACCCTAAACTGCAGGCAATAGGTATCCTGGATAGTCTAAAAAGCTTGATGATCCACTTAAAGATAAATATGAACTGAATATTATTTTAGAAAGGGTTCAGAGCCTTGATCCTGTGATGTTACACTGTTCTTTATACTCACTTATTATTTTGGTTCTAATTGATCCAGAATATTCTATAAAACTAGTTGTTTCTTCCCAGAGATATACTTTCTTTTTTTACATTAAAAAGTTTATATGCGGGCTGGCCCAGCAGTGTAGCAGTTAAGTTCATGTGCTCCACTTTGGTGGCCTGGGGTTCGTGGGTTCAGATCCTGGGAGCAGACCTACACCACTCATCAAGCCATGCTGTGGAGGCATCCCACATAAAAAAGAGAGGAGTATGGGCACAGATGTTAGCTTAGGGCCACTCTTCCTTAAGCAAAAAGAGGAAGATTGGCAACAGGTGTTAGCTCAGGGCCAATCTTCCTCACCAAAAAAAAAAAAAAAGTTTATATGGAGACAGGAAACATGATGTATTTTATCAATTCCCAAACTTAAAGATCTCTTTAAAGGCCCAATTAGTACAAAATTATAAGCAGCACAGTACCATGTAAATAAATCCTATTTACTTCATGGGTTTGTCGTAAGAATTCAACACTTAATAAAAAACACTTATAAAAAATACTACCAGTTCCTGTCACATTGTAAATGTTCAATAAATGTTTAGCTATCAATATCATCATACAAGAAGACAGGGAAGTCTACACAGCATTTTGCTTACATTCTTCCCTACTTTGTAGTTTGTCCTTGGGAACTTTCCAAAAATTTTGCCACTTCACTTTTTACAGTGAGAGGAATTCAAAGTGTTTCTAAAGCTACATCTATACAATGAAAAGTCATTCAGACAGTTCAGTTCAAAATTCAACTGACCATCTAGCAGCTTGATTTCAAGCTTTATAAATACAAATGCCTACTGGCCTAAGCTGATAACCTGAGTGAGAGAAGTGAGACGGCTAAGGGTGGATAGACGTAGGTTGTGTGAATGGGGTACTCTACTTAAAAGTGGAAATCACCATTCAGTGACAGGGGATTTTATGCCATGCATGAGTGTAGGATCTCTATTGCCAGATTTTTAAAAGAAGTCAGAAATCTGGATATCAAGGTAAAATATCCTGATCATTAAATGTTGGCATAAATTTAACAAACAAAACACTTTGTGGGCCAAACAAGTCTAGAGGCTAAATACAGCCCACAGGCTGCTAGTTTGCCACCCAGCTTTAGTTTTACGCCGTTCCTCAGACACACGAAGCTGACTGACACAGCCGAGGTAAGACCATTATCAACCACAACCTTTCAAAGGGTGGCCAGTGGGGAAGGGAGAAGAATCGTAGAAGACCCGCCTTCAGCAAGTGTAACTCCTCCTCTTCTCACTTTAGAAGCTTTGGAACATGTACCCTAGCTTTCTCTGAATAGGCTCTTGCTATTCTGAGAAAAAAATTTCACAGGAAGTCCTGAGAGACAAGCCTCTATGGATAAGGGAAGTGATTAAAGTTACGGACAAATCAGTATAAACGCATAAAGAAATAGTGAGGATGTTTATGTGACTTCAGGAGAAAACTTCCATTCAAGACTGAAGAAGTAAAAAAATCTTTTAATACAGACGATAAAATTGTCTCTTTATAAGAGAAAGAAATACTTGTATTTGCTTAACTTTTTGTGATATGACACTATTGTTTCATAACACCTTTTACTTTTACAGGATATGGCATCTTTCATGGAGGTGAGCTTCTCAAGTCAGCACTTAAAATAAAAATTTTTGTTTAGTCAAAATTAGCTTTGCAAATTCTTTAAATCACCCTAACTAAATGAACATGATTTTGTATATACCATACCACCTCTTAATAAGTTCAAAACAGTTAATTTTTACTCCATCATTGGAGTAGATACTGTTTCTTTAGTTAGCATGAATGAAGCATAGCTGAACTTCTCAATTATCAACCATGTAGGCCAGTTAGATGTGAATGACTGTAAAGAGTGATTTTCTAGAGGGGGCAAACTAACCTGAAAAGCTAACCTCAACTAAATACTAGAAAAAGATAATGATCATAATATCTAGACAAGAAAGAGGCACTGGGTAGCTTCAATGCCTATGAGAACCAGAGACATGGGAAAATAAAAAGAACAGTCCTATGGGTATCTTCCCAAACTACACGGGTACTCATAAAGATACAGTAAACTAACAATGGATTCAGTGAAGGATCTGTGACAGATTAAATGAGTCTTATAGAAATAGTTCTATTTGATTCACTAAACCAACACAGGGAGAGAATAGAATGTTCTCACTAACACAGTTTCTTATAACCTGAGTTTTAACCCAATTTATAGGCATAGAGAGCTAAGGTGCTCAACCTTGTTGTAACGAAGAGCTAAAGGTATTTTACTTCTTACCTAAATGTAGTCTCTAGTTTATTTCTTTGCTGGGATGTAATTGCAATGATTACAGGTAACAATGTCAATTAGTATTAATTTTCATTAAAAGTTAATAAACTGGCATGCCAGTTTACACAAGAATCAGTTTACCAGGACCTAATCATTTCTGTTTTTAAACTTCTAAAGCTAAGGATTAGGTTCTAAAACCAATGCTGATGCTAAATCTGTCCTAAGGCACATCATAAACAACAGGTACATGTTTACTGTATATTAAAATTATTTATTTTAATGCAGCGCAATCAACCAAGAATTGATGACTACCAACATGTCACAGCAGTAACTTTAACAGCAATCCACAGGTTCAGAGACTCTGATAAGGGTGTAACTGTCATACTGAATACACAGTTATGGAAAACGTTTTCTGTGGTTGATCAACCAGTATAATAACACTAGTATGATAATTTAAAAGAAATTAACCTATACTATAGTCTGGGTTCAGGAAATTAAAAAAAAACCTGGAGAAAAAAGGATACAGATTGTATTCACCATGACAACATGCTGATTTCAGTAACCAGGCAGGGAGCATAGACTTGAAAGTTAATTGTGTCAGCTCACTCTGACCAAACATTGGCTGATATCATAAATTGGCTCTCAGAA